CTTAGGTCTGAAGATCAAAAAGTAAGGCTCCAGTTTGAATTCCAGCTCTTCCATTTTCTGGCTGTGTGATTTAACCTCTCTGAGATTCAGTTTCTTCCTCTGTAAAATAAAAAGGTGGCTGAAAGAATTAAATGATTTAATGCTCATGAAAGTCTCGGTACATAGCAGTTGTTCGGTAAACACTAGCTTTCTTATCTCCCATCTACCCTTTCGTTCCAAACAAAGTGCAGATATGATTTGACCGTGGTTGAAGTGCCTGATTCAACCAGCTTCAACATATCTAGCCTGACGTTTAGGACATTCATCTTTTCTTCTGTTCTATAGTTCTGTAAATAATGTTCATCTGTCAGGTACTATATACCAACCACTTTGCCTACTGCTTGGGCTAGACATGAACAACACAGACTGTGTTCACATCTTCATAAAACCTAGAATCCAGTATGGAAGACAGCAGTGAACAAGTGAAGCCAGTCTTCTTTCCCCACTCTAATGTACTTGGGAGACAGCCAAACTGGAATTTGCTTTCCCTCTACCGTGGCCTGGATATTTCCTGCCTCTTCATTCCAATCTCGCCCTCCCCCCTTCCCTTTCCACCCCATTCAACTTAGAATCTACCCTTAAAGTCCACAGGCAATTCTAGTTACCCGTGGATCTGTTCAGCCCCAAACATTATTTTCTCCTTCGAGCGGCTACCATTGGCCTCTCTTTAGAAGCTTATTTATTATTTAGGATTTATGGATAGTTCAGTAGAGTGAGGGCCTCAAAGGAAGAAGAAACTTCTCTGTTTCACACCAGTGCACCCGCTAGAGCCTGGGATGGTGCCTGCAACATAAATATTTATTAAAAGAATGGATGGGTAGATGGCTATATTTTTCATTATTTGTTTAGATCCCCCCCCCCCAAAAAAAAAACCAAATTCACTACCATTGAGTCCATTACAACTCATAGCAACCCCTATTGGATTTCTAAGGTTTTCTTCCATGGAGTGGCTGGTGGGTTAAAACTATCAACCAGCCAAATGCCTTAACCACTATACCACCAGAGCTCCTTGAGATCAGAGTTGATAAACCTTTTCTCTAAAGAACCAAAAAGAAAAAAAAAAAACCCA